TGTATTTTTTGTTTTATTATTTCTTAATTTATAAATCTTCTTCTGTTAATTTATAAAACTTTAATTACCCTTTATAATTTTATAAAATTAATTGGAGTCTATATATATCAATACCTTTTCAATGTTATTTTTATTTAGTTTTAGTTCTCCTAAACTAAACAACTACTTTATACTTTTTAATTGGGAGTTTAATTATGATTGATAGTATAAATTTTCTTGTTCTATTTAGTGATTAATTAATTAAGCTTATAATTTGTCCTAATTTTAGCATAGACACAGTGCTAAATAAATTTTCATAAATTTTTATCTAAATTTAGCTATAAGTTCTTGATACATTTTATAACCCCAATATAAAAAGAAAGTGAAGTTAGATGTCAAAATAATGGAAAAAAAGAATTTTTAAAAAGTATCTGATAATGAAAGGGATCCTCTTGCTAAATCGGGATTTTCATTTATCCAATCTTTTGGTTTATTTAAAATGAAAAAAATACCACAATAAATTGTTATCATTGAGGTTATCAAAGATAAAGTTTCAAGATCATTAAGCACCTAGGTATTAAATGGTTATTTTTTGAAATTAATCATTAAAAAAAAGATTAAAATCATAAAAACTAATAGAGCTTAAAATAAAACTCCAAAATTGCTGATAAATACTGCAGTAAAAATAATCATGATTTTTCGATACATTATCACTATTTCCCAGAAATAATATTCTTTTCGATAGCCTCTGAATAAAAAACCATAACTTTGTAATACATCAAACGTATGTAATTTTTTCCTTCTTTTTATTAGAATTACAAATGCAAAAAAAGGAATCCCTAATCCCCAAACAATAATACTTGGTAAGGCTAAAAAATAGCTGTAAACTTTGTGAACTGGTGACCAGCACTCAATTTCTAGATCATTTTATACTCTATATTCACTATCAACTTCTTTGCATTTAAAATTATTAAAAGAGTAAGTGACTATGCTAGGATGTGCTAAAAATAATAGTATTACAAGACTTGACATTATTTTGCCTCTTATTTCAATTTGATTATTCTTCATTTTTTTATATATATTCCACACAATAAAACATAAAATCGTTAATAAAAAAGGCAGCAAAGCTATCATTATCAACTTCTGAAAGAATTTCCTATTTTTAAGTTATCTAGATTACTTATCAAGGTTTCTTGTATCAAGAAAGCAGTCAAAGCTAAATATTTAAGTAGATACAGTAGCTATTTAGTTTGTTGAACTAAAATATTATACTATCTGCTAAGACCATCTAAAATCAAATGAAACAGTAACTAATATTAGTTAGAAATGATTTAGGAGTATTTTGAGATAAATACTTGTAACATTATTAATTTCCATTGCTCCTTTTAAAGTAGACCTTATCATTAATACAATCAATATTATAACTGCAGCCAGTACTGCTATTAATCTCAGAACATTTAGAAAAGGATTAGGGCACAAAGAGCATTGATAGTCATTATCTCTGGAAAAACCAACTTCACAATCAGCACATAATATTCCTTAGTATCCCTTTAAACATTCTCCTAAAATGTTATTTTTGGGTGGAATCATTCCCAAGCAAGCGAGTTCGTAAAGACATTGAGTGAAACTGTTAGATTTATTATTTCTTCTCCAATACCCAGGAAGAGGCCCAATTTTCGCACCTCCTAAGCATTTTGCTTTTTCTTTTGGGCATACTTCACAACTGCCAGGCTCAGTCATTTAGGTTAATGAATAACTACCTTGACAAAGTTAACACTTACCGACAACAGTAAATTACTCTCCAACCTCACATTCTCTAAGATTAATTTCTATATTAAATTCTAGGTTTCCTCCTTATTTAAAAACTATTTTGTTGGAATCTTTGCTAAGATCAATTCCATCAGAAGAGAAAACAAGTTTATATGATGTCCCTGGTGCTCCAACTGCAATTATACCAGAAATCACAGCGATTCCACCAACTACATCAAAAATACTAGTACCCTCTAAAATAGGAGGATATAAATTTTACTTCTCAATAAACCCACTTGCTTCAATAATAACACGTACCTTGCTTGTAAAATCTGCACCAACTATTTATCCATATTTGTCCATCATAGCCATATAAATTACATTGATTGTACCACCACTTCTTTGATTATTTATAGCTTAGAGTTTCCTATTATAATTATGCTCTTAAATTTAATTATAATTCGAAAGTTATCTCTTATTAAAATCTTCAGATTGATTTTCTCCGATCTAAATCATTTTATTCATGAATTAAGAATAGCTGACTGATTAAAGATTGTGTGAAAAGCATGCAATGTTATCTCCATAATAGTAGGCACTATTA